TAGTTGTTGCAAACATAATTTCCAGTGTGTTGTACCTACTGACATTTTAAACTGTTATAGTTTTAACAGTCTATTTTAAGATAACTTCAAATGCATTCAGAAGCTCTGTCTTTACGCTCTTCTCCCCACATATTATGTGTTTGATGTCACAATTTACATCTTTTTTTTTTTTTTTTTTTTGTGGTACGCGGGCCTCTCACTGTTGTGGCCTCTCCCGTTTCGGAGCACAGGCTCCGGACGCGCAGGCTCAGTGGCCATGGCTCACGGGCCTAGCCGCTCTGCGGCATGTGGGATCCTTCCGGACTGGGGCACGAACCCGTGTCCCCCGCATCGGCAGGTGGACCCTCAACCATTGCGCCGCCAGGGAAGCCCCACAATTTACATCTTTTTTATTGTGTATTGATTAACAAATTCTTATAGTTAATACTTTCGTCTTTTAACGTTTATTCTAGAGAGTTAAGTGATTTACCCATTACTGTTACAATCTTTGAGTATTCTGAATCTAACTGTGTATTTACCTTTACCAGTGAGTTATATACTTTCAAGGATTTTCATCTTCAGCTTGGAGAACTCCCTTTAATATTTCTTATAAGGCAGGTCTAGTGGTGCTGAACTCTTTCAGCTTTTGCTTGTTTTGAAAACTCTTTTTCTTTCAATTCTTAACAATTTTGCCACTTTAAGTATTCTTGGCTGGCAGTTTTTTTTCTTTCAGCACTTTAAATGTACTGTGCCACTCCTTTATGGCCTGCAAAGTTCTGCTGAAAAATCTGATGATAGGTTTATTGGGGCTCCCTTGTACTTAACAAATTATTTTTCCCTTCTTGCTTTTAAGATTCCCTCCTTGTCTTTAATTTTGACAATTTGATTATAATATGTCTTGGTGGGGGATCTCTTTAAATTCATCTCTTTTGGTATCTTTGGGCTTCCTGGATCTGGATGTTTGTTTCTTTCCCCAGGTTAGGAAAGTTTGGGGCCACATTTCTTTGAATCACCTTTCCGCCCCTTTCTCTCTCTCTTCTGCTAGGAGAAGAGTATATTGATCCAGTTGATGTTGTCCCATTAGGCCTTTAAGCTATCTTTACTCTATTTTTTTTTTTTTTTTTTGTTCCTTTGACTAGATGAATTCCACTGCCCTATCTTTGAACTCATTGATCCTTTGTTCCACTGATCTGGTCTGCTGTTTGAATCCTTTTATTGAGTTTTTAAGTCAGTTATTGTATTCTTCAGCTCTATGGTATCTTTAGTACATTTTAATATTTTCTATCTTTATGTTGAAATTCTTACTTTGTTCATTAATGCTTTACCCTGGTGAGTATACTTATGACCATTACTTTAAACTATTGGTAAGTCACTTAGCTCTGCTTCCTTAAGATTGATTTCTAGAGATTTATCTTGTTCTTTTGCTTGGAACATATTCCCTTGTTTCTCCATTTTCCTTGACTCTCTGCATTGGTTTCTATGCATTAGATAAAACAGCCATCTCTCCCAGTCTTGTGTAGATTAACCTCATCTATTAGCCCAGACCAAGCTCCTGGTTGCCTCTCAAATCTTTGTGATGGCCCAATCCTCCATCTTTGTTCTTAGCAGCTCTGAACAGTAGAGGGTATGCCAAGACCCATTAGTGTCCCAAAAGGGAGGGTCACAGTTAGCAACTCAGTGTAAGCTGATTAGAAACCAAACCCTCAGGCAGCAGCTGGGAAACTGGGAGATGGGTATTTCTGCGTGTTACCTCTGTATTGAGCCTGAGTGTATAGTTGCTGGGGGTGCATCTATTTAAAGACTGCTTTTGTTGCTATAATCCTGTGGAACTCATGAATGCAAGCCCTGTTGGCTATCAGAGCTAGGTAAATTGAGAGCCAGTCCCTCCAGTGCAAGCTGTAAAAGTTGGGGTGCTAGATATGTGTACAAGCTCCTTATAGGGAGGTACCAGTGACTTGGTTTTTTTGTTGGAGTGAGCAGGAGGGAGAAGGTGGAGAAAGTGCCCACTGGCTCTTTTGGACTCCAGGGAGGATCACAGTCAGCACCAAATTGTGTGCGAATCAGAAGCTGGACTCTCAAGCGGTAACTTGTGAAATATGCAATCAAACCCCTTCCAGTGAATGAATGGGAGATGGGCATTTTCGCCTGCTCATGTTGTGCTGAGCCCTGGGGGGATAGCTTTGGCGAGTGCTTGCATGTCCATTGAGAACTGCTGCTTTGTTTTCTATAGTCCTGTGGCATTCATGAACACAAGCCCCTTTGGCTATCAGGGCCAGGCAATCTGGGGGCCTGTTTCTCTGGTGGCAGATGCAAAAGCTGGGACACCAGACTTGTACAAGCTTCTTTTAGAGATGCTAGTGAACTGGGTTTTTTTGTTGGAATGAGCTGAAGGGAGAAGGTAGAGGAGGTGCCCACTGGATTCCCCTGGGCTCCATGAAGAATAGTAGCCAACTTCCAGAATCATGCTAATTGGAAGTCAGACCCTCAGGCTGCAGCTTGTAAAGTATGCACTAAGACCCTTTCCAGGGAAAGGCTAGAATGCCCTGGGAGATAGGCATTTTTGCCTGTTCCTTTCACACTGAGCCGGGGTGGGGGGGTGGGGGTTGGGGGGGCGGATACCAACTGTAATGCATGGCCATTAGGAACTGCTTCTTCGTTTGCTCTAGTCCTGTGGGTTTTGTGGAATCCAGCCTGGTTGGCTTTCAGAGCTAAGTGTTTTGAGGGTCATCTCTCATGCAGTAGTAATAAAAGTTGGGGGACTGGGTGTGTGGTCTAAACCCTTTGCTCTTCAGGGAGAAGTTAGGAGTCTCAATTCTATGACTCTATTCTGGGGGTGGGGTTTATGGTGAGAGTGTGTCTCTGCCTTTCCTACCTGTTTCAGTATGGGTATTTTCTCTTTCGCTCAACGTGCAGAATCACTCAGCTGGTATCTGGATTTCTCTCAGAGGGATACTCCTTATGTAGCTGTACATTCACTGCATCTGTGGGAGGAGGGATGTTCAGGAGCCTCCTATGTCACCATTTTTGAGCCCTCCTTCTGTCTGATGTTATTTTGTTAGCTTCTTGGACTTATATTTCTATTCCACTCTTCCTTCCTATATTTATGCTAATATATTGTCTTATTTTTGAAAGTCTTGTCTTAATTACTTTATCACACTTTTCTGTTACAAAAATATATACTGGAACTTAAATTTTTTTTTTTTTTTTTTTGCGGTACGCGGGCCTCTCACTGTTGTGGCCTCTCCCATTGTGGAGCACAGGCTCCGGACGCGCAGGCTCAGTGGCCATGGCTCACGGGCCCAGCTGCTCCGCGGCATGTGGGATCCTCCCGGACCGGGGCACAAACCCGCGTCCCCTGCATCGGCAGGCGGACTCTCAACCACTGTGCCAGCAGGGAAGCCCCGTGGAGCTTAAATTATTTTTAAAGTTTCCTGTGACTACAAGACTTGAATGCAAAAAATAGCATACTAATGACCAAAACAAAAATAAATTGAAACATAATCATTTAACATAAAAGTAAAATCTTGTTGGAAATGAATCTCTCATGGAGCTGTTTATTTTTTGCCTCAGTTGGTTTATGTGTCTATAGATGATCATGGATATTTTCTAGAATGAGATTGAGTTCAGCATTCATTTAATTCCTATTTTTCACTTTCATAAATGTAAGTATTGCAAAATTTATTTATATAAAACACATGGCAATGGAAAGAGTTTCATTATAGCTAGTTAGAGGAGGGGGAAATGCCCAGCTTTGGGAATCATGACACCTACTTCATAAAAATGACATGTTTTGGGGCAAATCACTTGCTAGGTCTTGGTTTCTTCATCTATAAAATTAGAGAGGTGGCATAGAGGAGTTTTAAGTCTCTATATAGCTCTACCATTCTATAATAATTTTAAAAGGCAGATTAAAACCATTTAGGCATATCAGATGGGAAGTATATGCATAAATAAGCATAAATAAATGGAATTGATATAAATATGAGGTGGATGCTTGCTTTCAAGGTGATTATAATCAAACTGGGTAGCAAATAACATTAATTAAGTAGGGAATAAATCAAGATTGCATATGATTAAATGCTAAATGCTTATAGATAAGTTTTAAAAGTTCTAAGACGGGTCTATTAATTGAGGCTGAACTCTGTAGGAAAGGCTTCATGGAGAAGGTGCAGTCTGAAGAGGACTTTGGTGGTCCACATGGTAGAACAACATGAAAGAAGCCATAGGGGAGCCACAGACCTCAGAAGCATGGGCTGGTGGTGTCAAGGTGACTGGAGCATCTTGCCTGCTAAGGAAGGGAAGGGCTGAGGTAATAAGGATATCACAGCCAGGTCCCTGGGAAGCAATTAGAGACAATTATAGTCAACTTTAATTATGTGTGGCAAATATGTTCTATAAAGTCATCATGAACAATGAATTAGCAAATACTGAAGTGTTTGTCATGGGGATGCACAGTGTTATTCCTGTGAGCCTCTGTTTACATTTTCTTCCTAACTTTTTTGGTGTGTTTCTGTTTAAAGACTTCAAATTTAGTATATATTGTTGATACATTAACATCAGACTAATAGCCAGCAGCATTATTGCTCATTCCTGGACAGAGATTATCCAGCATGTGTATTTTCTCCATAAGGTACATCACAACCTTCTTAGGCTTAGGAACACTAGACAGCACTTCAGCACTCTGCTTAGGGGCCCTTTTAAACAACAAAATCAACAACAAACAGCACATAAATATGAAAAACATGGCACTAAATAGGCTACAAAAGGACAGTTTTCTACAGTCTAAGAGCTGAAATAAGAAGGCAGAGCATCACCTTGTCCAGACTCATCTGGGAGCATGCACACTGGGTGACTCAAACTTTTCATTGCTTTGCGCATGTTCATGCACGATCTTGAAAGTGCCCTAGTATTGACTGTGGGATTACAAATAGATTTTAGCAAGTAGGCAAATTTGCAAACATGAAATCTTTGAATAATGACAATGAACTGCATATTGGCGAGGTAGGCTGTAGCCAGCCATTAATGAGATCTGAGCAGAGGAATAACACAATGAGTAATATTTAGGAAGCTCACTCACTTATTCACTTACCGCAAATTAAACATTAAAGGAGCCTCACTGTGTGTTAGGGGTTGCATAAGGTGCTTGAAGTACAAATGAATAAACATGGCGCCTGCTCTTAAGGAACTGAAATCTAAGCACAAGTAACCTACAGGGGAAGCCTGGGAGAAAAATCTGGAGCAACCAGAAGTCTTGTTGCCAGACTCATTCTTGAGGTAATGAGGACCAGGTTTTTCAAAGTAGCAGTGGGAGCGGGAGGAAGGGCAAACATGAAGAGAGAATGAAAGGTTTTCGTTTTGCTTGAATAGTGAGAGAGACCTCCCACAGATTCCAGACTTTAGGTTGAGGAAAGGTATGCCAAATATATGTCCTTGTGTTCCAGCAAAAGCTGTCTTCCTCAAACTAGGAAGCTTGCAGAGGGAAACTGGTTCCCCCTTTCCTAAGGATGGCTCTTTGCTTCAGCTATTATTAAGCCCAGAATGACTAAAATGGCGTTCTTTAAAATTAAGAATAAAATCAAACAAAACCAAAAGACTAGATTTATCCTGCAGGTAGAACACACAAGTTTTCTAGACTCCAGAGATGTTGTTGATTTCTTTTTGGACCAGTTCTGAAACATTCAGTAACAAATTTCTATTGACCTCATGAGTTCACATTGCTCATGTGTAGTAACCTTGGTCAGCAGCAAAGAACTTAACTGTTAACCTTCTCTTGGTGTGTGCACAATTACTTTAATTATTTGTTTTCTATTTTCTGCTGTTTTTTGGAAAATAATTTCCCTTGTCTTTAGAGCAAGAAGTATTTCATGTCTAGTTTTATTAGTTAATAACATTCTACTCATGCTGCGTGGGAAGGATGTGACAGTTCTTCTGGGTCTCTTACTACTGTGCTGACTCCCTAACCCCAACAGGCTTTTCTTCCTGGGCAGAGTCATAGATCAGATGGGTATTAATTTTGAATCAAGTAGATTAATCAAATAATTGTCCCCTCCCTGAGTGTCAGGCATTGTGCTGGGCCTGGGGATGAGAAAGATGGATAAAGTTTATGTCTTAAAAGAGCTGGCAGTTGTCAAAGCCTAAGGGATTCTCCAGACATTAAAATACCACTTAATACTTCACCCTGTAGGTGCTTACGTCTCAACACTAATATAAAAGGTAGAGCAAGAAGAGGCAACTTTGGTCTTCTTTTAAGAAATATCTATTCAATTCCTTTGCCCATTTTTTAATGCTTTTTTTTCTTTGAGTTGTGTGTGAGATCCTTATATATTTCAGATATTAACCTCTTATCAGATATATGGTTTTCTCCCATTCCACAAGTTGCCTTTTCACTCCGTTGATTGTTTCCTTTGCTGTGCAGAAGAAGCTTTTAGTTTGATGCAGTTCCACTTGCCTATTTTTTCTTTTGTTACTCGTGCTTTTAGTGTCATACCCATGAAATCACTACCAAGACCAATGTCATGAAATTTCAACCTGTTTTATTCTAGGAGTTGTAGAGTTTCAGGCATTACATTTAAGTGTTTAATCAATTTTGAACTGATTTTTGTGTGTGGTATAAGATAAAGGTCCAAATCATTCTTTTGCATGTGGACGTCCACTTTCCCAACACCATTTGTGAAAAGGTTATCCTCTCCATTGTGTGTTCTTGGCACCCTTGTCAAAGATCAGCTGACTATATATGTTGGATTTATTTCTTGGCTGTCTATTCTGTTCCTTTGATCTATATATCTGTCTTTATACCAATATCATACTGTTTTCATTGCTGTAAATTTGTAATATATTTTGAATTTAGGAAGTGTGATGCCTCCAGCTTTGTTCTTCTTTTTAAATATTGGCTTGGTTATTTGTGGTCCTTTGTGATTACATATGAATTTTGGAATTATTTTTTCTATTTCTTCAAAAAATGCAATTGGAATGTAATACAAATCAAAACCACAATTAGATATCACCTCACACCTGTCAGGGTGGCTATTATGAAAAAAACAAAAACAAAGAGTGTTGGCAAGGATATGGAGAAATTGGAAACCTGGAACACTGTTGGTGGGAATGCAAAATGGTGTGGTTGCTATGGAAAATAGGTTGTTCAAAAATTAAAAATAAAAGTATCATATGATCCAGCAGTACCACTTCTGGGTATTTATTCAAAATAATTGAAATCAGGATCTCAGAGTGATATTAGCACCCTATGTTCATTGCAGCACTATTTGCAATGGAACAACTAAATTTCCATCAGTGGATAAATAGATAAAGAAAATATGGCATCTATATACAATGGAATATTACTCGGCATTAAAAAAGAAGGAAATTTTGCAATGTGTAACAACATGGATGACCTTAGGACATTATGCTAAGTGGAATAAGCCAGTCACAGAAAGAAAAGTGTGGCATGATTCCACTTGTACGAGGTATCTAAAATAGTCAGATTCATAGCATCAAAGACTGGAATGGTGATTTCCAGGGTCTGGGTGGAGGGGAAAATGAGGAGTTACTAATCAACAGGCATTAAGTTTCAGTTAAGCAGATGAATAAGTTCTAGAGATGGAATGTACAACATAGTACCTGTAGTCAACAATACTATCTTGTACAGTTAAAAATAAATGTGTTAAGAAGGTAGATCTCATGTTAAGTATTCTTACCCTAATAAAATACAATTTGAAAAAAGAGGAGAAGAAGAAGCTTCCTCAGCCAAGACTCTGCTTTCAGATGCCTCTAGAAATCTCTTATACTCACTGTGCAACAAGTACTTTCAAAGATAATCCTTTGCAAGGAGACAGAAGATGAAAATTAAGTTCTGGAGGAAATGTGACTCAAGATAAATATCTTTGCTGAGGAGGTTTTCCTACTTCCCTCTTTTTATTCATTTATTTTTTCTTCTTCAAAATGTTTAGCCCATTGGGACACTTTGATTCTCTACTTTATACCATGAACACTTTCTTTTTAGGCAATACACAGCAAGCTCAGTGCATTAGCAGGTGACATAATTTCATATGCACAAGTATAAACTATAATAAGGCACCTCAGGTTGGCTTCTCTTGAAAGTTGCCACCCAGGAAAGAGTTTGATTAGGGAGTGTTCTATGTAGTATTTTACTTGCAGATGCATGTTCAGTGTTGTCCTGTCCTTACTTAGCTGGAGATTAAATTCTCATACCCTGCCTTGGTTTTTAATACCAGACAATATGGTCTTTGTTTTAGTAAATACCTGTGCCTATGTGGATTATTTTAGGAAGGCCACGTGATAGCAATGTGTCTGAGGCAGTATTTCTTGCAGAGAAGTTTAAATGAAAGGAAAATTGTTCAAGTGGAGAGTTCTGTAAATGCAGTATTGTGGGAGTCATTGAGAAATGGGAATAAAAGTCTGTTTTAATCATACATCTCTTCATATAGTTGCTGAAAGCAATATGAAATCATTTGGTCCCATCTATGGAATGTGATTGGGTCTACCTGCTGCAGGAAATGGAAGGTAGCGGCCTGCGGGTGTGGTGTGTGGGAAAAAGGGCCCAACCACTCTAATTATGAGTCTTTCTAGCCTTAAAGTCCCATCTTTCCAGTCCTAAGAGTAGAATATTAAGAGTAAGTTCATTGAAGAAGATGTGGCACATATATACAATGGAATATTACTCAGCCATAAAAAGAAATGAAATTGAGCTATTTGTAATGAGGTGGATGGACCTAGAGTCTGTCATACAGAGTGAAGTAAGTCAGAAAGAGAAAAACAAATATCGTATGCTAACACATATATATGGAATATAAAAAAAAAATGGTCATGAAGAACCTAGGGGCAAGATGGGAATAGAGACACAGACCTACTAGAGAATGGACTTGAGTATACGGGGAGGGCGAAGGGTAAGCTGGGACAAAGTGAGAGAGTGGCATGGACATATATACACTACCAAACGTAAAACAGATAGCTAGTGGGAAGCAGCCGCATAGCACAGGGAGATCAGCTCGGTGCTTTGTGACTACCTAGAGGGGTGGGATAGGGAAGGTGGGAGGAGGGAGACACAAGAGGGAAGAGATATGGGAACATATGTATATGTATAACTGATTCACTTTGTTAGAAACTAACACACCATTGTAAACCAATTATACTCCAATAAAGATGTAAAAAAAAAAAAAAAGTAAGTTCATTGATACTTAGAGGACTAGTTAAAACAGAAATTCCCTACTTTCTGAAATTGTGATAATAGTAATTTTCTCATAAGATTGTTGCATATGTTTAATGAGATAATCTATGTAAAGTATATTATAAATGTGTATATGTTTAGCTACCATTATTATTATAATTATTACCATATGCACATGAAGTCCTTACACTTCCCATCAGGGTTTGAAGAATTTGCTGGTCAAACTTCATTTTCTTTTAAGTGATGATTCTTCTTCTTTAAAAAACAGATTTATTCAGGTATAATTGATATACAAAAAACAGCACATATTTAATGTCTAAATTTGATGGGTTTGGACATATGCATACACTTGTGAAAATGAAGTGTTTGGTTCTTTGTTTTGATTGAGTCCCACACCATTGGTATAAGTCACTTATCAAACTATCATGGGGTGCAGCTGTGTTCAGCTGAGTAATGTGGGTGTCCTGTATTTTTCACTCTTGACTAGATGGGACAAAATCACTGTGGAGTAGTTTGAAGCCTAATAAATCATACCCCATTTCCAAGAAATGTATTTTGGTTAACAGACTCCTTTCTAAGATATAAATAAGCCGGGTTTCATTTTTTCATCTAGAGTTGTTAACTGAGATCAGATAAAGCATGAGATCTGTTGATGTCTGGAGTGGGCAGGAAGGGGAATCTTGGGCTTGGGGCCATTGGTGAAAGACTGACTGTTGGGAGGGAGGGCCTTGTGGGATGCCAAACTCTAGGCGCCTCTGGGACCAGGTTGAGTGTGATGGAGGTAGGAGGGTGTGGAAGAGTACTTGGCTGAGGGCGGGTGATGTGTCATTAAAATTCCCAACAGGCTGCCTGTAGCTCTCTGGCTGTGGAGCAGCTTGCCAATGCCTGAATAGAGATGTCAGGGCTAGTTTGGAAGGCTGCAAATTAAAAATGATTTACACTTTTGGCCAGCTTAATCTCTTCTAATCCAGCTTGTATAGTTATTCCAGTTCAGCCCAGTATCTCTCCTCTCAGTCTTGGCTTCTCCTGGGAGGTGAAGTTAAAAAGGGAAAGAAAATGGAAGGTGTGGAAAAAGAAAAGAGCATTTCCCCCC